TTAATTATAATAATTAATGATAAATTTAATATCTTTTATTAAGAGTAAAGTTCACTTTGAATTTCATAAAATGTGTGTAAAAAAAGATCTATTTTTCTGTTGCAACTTTTGCTTTATGCTTTTTGCTTGTTTATGCGTTCTTGTAAATGTTCCAATCATGTGAACAGTTTACGTTACACCTGATCGTCTAAAAATAGTTTTATATTTTTTGTTTTTTGTTTTTTAAACGATAAATTTTGAAAAAAAACTCTCCGCTATCATGCCAAGACCAAAGAAAGAGAACAATAAAACCAACAAAAACAACAACCTCGCTCTCGCCCTGGTACTCCAGAGCAACAACCAAAGAAGAAACAAAACACTTTACAAACTGTTGAACCAGAAAGCAGTATGTCCACCAACAACAACAACGAAACTCCACTTATGGACGTCGACCCTCTTCCGCTCGATAAAAGAAAGGGTAAAGAAGTTTTACAAAGTGAAACAACCTTAGTTGTCACCGCAGAACAAAGTGAAATGAACGTTGACAACGCCAACGACGCCTCTGAAAATTTCTTGAACAACAAAACAAGCCCTCAAGATATCTCTATGAAAAAAATGAAATTTTTCGCTTTCTTCCTAACAGACGACTACCCAGGAAAATCCTCCCAAACAAAAGTATCTGACATCACAGACCTCGTGTTCAACAGATTTGATTCTTTTTCTGGTGTCACCTTAGCCAAACATCCAGAAGACCAATCAAAAAGTATACTTAAGGCGACATTTTCTAATAAAGAAGAAAGTGACGCGTTCTGCAAGTTCAACCTACCCAATTTAGAAAACCGCACGTTTTTCCCCCTTGACATCACACCAAAATATCCATTTATGCCACAACAATCGATCAAAGTTACAGAGATTCCATTGGACGCAACAGAAGTTAGAATTATGAAAATCTTCTCCCGATTTGGAAAGATCGTTAGATTCACCATGGAAACAAAAAACCTATGGCAATAAGCCACAATTACATACGACAACGACGCTAACTTTACAGAACTTCAAAAAGGTCACGGTATCTTCATCCTCAATGATATGGTGCGTTTCCATATGTGTGACCTATCAAGGGACCAAATACTAGAACGATCAAAGTTTTCGGCCAAACTCACATACCTTTCACGCTATACCACGGGTAAAGATTTATCCGAACTCAGATTAATGACCAACGCGACAACATGGATCATCCCTAAGGCTAGATCCAACTACAACAACTTACAGCATGCTTTCTTCTACTTCGCATCAGCGGAAGACCACGAAATGGCAATCAGTAATAATAATCTTACAATTAACGGTAAACACGTGAAATGGACAAGCAATAAAATGAAATTATGCGCTATTTGTTCATCCCCTCACTACAAAATAAAAGAATGCAATAAAAAACGAAGAACACCCAACGATAGGAATACACAGAATTTGTACCAATGTTTTCAACCCGCTCAGTACAACAACTACAAGGCTCCGATCCGTCCTAGAAGAGGAGCGATCAATCCAAACGTAACTTTCACTGAAATAATCAAAGGAAATCAGAAAGAAAAACCTTTACTCCCAAATAAGCCAAAATTCGATATTTCTAATAATGAAGACGGATCTTTTGCATTAAGAGGCCCAAACAATATACCGCTTTCTTCCTGGGCTGATGACATCCCATCTGATATGGATGTTATCGACAATACACTTACCCCACAACAATCACGTGACATAGCCGCTGGTACAAAAACTGGAGGTTCTATGCATGAGAAATCTAATGAAGTAGACGATTTTAAAGCATTTATCAAAGAAAGTTTCTACCACCTAACTCAGAAACTTGAAGATTTTACAACAGCCATGGGTTCAGTTATGAAAAGAATGGATACCATAGAAAATACTCTAAATATCAAGGTCTTAGCTCCAGACGAAAACATGGATGACTCAGATATGATGTATAGTTATGACAACCCGGCCATTGATATATCTAATTCAGTTATCAACAAACAAAGACGCATCATTGAGGCTCTTAAAGAGATTAATGAAGCCTAAAATCTTCGGTTAAAGCATTTCACAGATACGGTTAATGACTTGGTAATCTCGTGTAATGCCTTCCGCATGATTCTCGCCCAAAATAATTTATTACCAAAAAAAAGACCGCAGAAATACTGACCCTCAACACCAACTACGACATAACGGCAGACAAGGCTCTAAAGAGCCTCCCTCAATTTTAAATCAAATAATCATGATTACTGTCACTACAGATACTAATAACGTTTCAACATCCTCAACTACTGACAACTCCACCCTCCCAATAAATATTCTAAATCTCACCATCGCAACCCACAATGTCAGATCATTCACAAATACCGCAAAACAACATTTCCTCCTTTCTCTCTACTCCACATATAACATAGACATCATCGGCCTTCAAGAAACTAACTTTAAACAAATACATGCAAAAAACTTCAATCCAACCCATTCCTCTCACATCTCATTTTTCAGTTCAACGCCAAGACAGAGAACAGCCTTCGGAGTTAGAATCATATTAAAGAAAGATATCGCCTATCATGTTTTTAAGCACGATACTAAACTAGATTGATTGATCTACGTAGATCTACAGTTCGCCAATAAATAAAAACTACGTGTCATTAACTGTTATCTACCACCTGCAGACTTGAAAACGAGACAAGAAGTCCAACAAATACTTACAAAATGGATCAAAGAAGCTTCATCTCTAGATTATCACGTGACCATAATAGGAGATTTCAATGCCGACATGGACCGCCAACATAACCCGACAAATGCACTCAAATACTTTGACACGTTGCTTAGAATGTCTATGTTCGATGCCTTCACCCTTAAACATGACTTTGCAAGAACCCGCTTTCCTTCGTATATCAATAGTCAAAGTATCTCGAGAATTGATTATATATGGACATCAACAGAACTTTCGGTCAATATACTGGATTGCTACACCATTCCGATAGACACTGATATATCTGATCATCTACCAATCGTAATAAAGTGTGTTAATTTTTTAGATATCAAATTCAACAAATGAAAAATAAAAGCGAAACTTAGTTTTGACTTCAACAAAATGGATGATAAAAAATGGAACAAATTCGAAAACAAATTGGATGCACTAGTGAATGGCTGCCTACTGAAAACCATGAACATCAACACCTTTTGGACGCAATCTCTACTCAACAAACATTAGAATCAGTTCCAAAAGTTACTGATTAAAGTGGCTGAATCAACTATTCCTATTCGAAAATCAACAGGACAATTTAAATATCCAAGACCCCCTAGGTTGTCCAAACTTTACATACAACAAAAAGAACTCCACAAATTAAATAAGTTGCTGCGCTCAATCAAAAATGGGGCATCATTTCTGGTCTTTTGGCCCCGTGCATATGATACTTACATCAATAATGCAAATTCACTGAATTTTGTCACCGCCCACCCCACTCCAGAATATCCATTCAATTTCATTGAACTTTTGCTCTCTGATACTAATTTACTAATTAACATGGTTCATTGTAAAGTTAAACTACACGAGAAAGAACACAAACTTCAATCAATCCAACAAGCACTCAATAAATGACTTGAAAACTACGCTGTATAACCCGGGAAAATGTTAGATTCTACATTAAATAGATCGAGAAGAACTATAATACTTGACCGCTGCTTATCAAGAAATTCCAATGATTTGCTAACGGATGAAAGTGAAATTAAATAGAGTTCCGAATGAGTCAAGTCGAGTCAAGTTTAAAGATCAACTCGACTCGACTCTCTTTTTTCGAGTCGAGTCGAGTTAAATTTATTTTATAAAATCTTTCAATTTGATTTGATTCGAGTTATACAAATTTTAAACTCGACTCGATTTGATTCGACTCGATTTTAACTCGATTCGACTTTGAAAAAAATAATAAAAAAAAGAAACGAAAAGATCAGGGGGGGAAGAACGAACGATTCGTCATCGTTCTTCTTGAACGATAAAAGAAATCGTTCAAGTCAAACGATTCGTCATCGTTCTTCTTGAACGATAAAAGAAATCGTTCAAGTTGAACGATTCGTCATCGTTCTTCTTGAACGATAAAAAAAATCGTTCAAGTCGAACGATTCGTCA